CCTCATCAGATGGGATTACATCACTACAACATCCGTTTCGGTGCCGAAGTTCGTCTTCCTCACGTTCTTGAGGCACATCTAGGGACACTCTTCGGCGTTCCTTGGAGACTGCCGAACTGACTGACGTCATCCGTCATGGCTAAGGATGCTGCAGAACAAAATTTAAGGGAATAATGTGGTTAAAATAATAGTAAATCACCTTATTTTTGATTGTTTATACCACCAGGTATGGTTTATTATTGCTTTAGCCACATTACTTTTTTTTGTGACTTTGCATAGACAAAACAATGTGTGTATTAGTCGTGTATGTGAAAAACAACTACGCGTACAGGTCATCAAATACAAAACACCTTTGCTGTAGGCTACATAATCTGACTGCATGTACATTTCCCAGAGCCCTCTTTAGCAATCTCTACCCTCTGGTAAACTAACACAACTATGGAAAATCACCATTTTTAATGGGTAAACCCACTAAGAATGGCCATTTTCAATAGCTATGGCTATGTTAGTTTACCAGAGGGTAGTTCATAGTGGTGTCAAACTCTCACGTGCGGTTGGGACATGCATCCGTCCTATCATCAGAAACATGTTTCCAACAAGATTTCCAACAAGATTTGCCGGAAAAGATGTTTGGAAACTCTTACCCTCTGGTAAACTAACATAACTATGGAACATATTGGAAAATCACAATTTTTAATGGGTAAATCAACTATAAATTGGCAATTTTCAATAGCTATGTTAAATTACCAGAGGGTAATACGCTTGGTTGGTGCTTTCATCCTTCACAAATATGACATCAGATTGATGATCAAAGGACAACACAAAAACATTCTCCGAAACTTTAATTATTTTCATCTAATTTCATTGGATCTATCCTCTTTTTTGATGATCGTATCCAATTGTGTGCGGTTCAAATATCCATTGTTGTTTCTGCTCAAATATCTTGTTGGTGCTTTTAACCATCTTGAAAAATATGAAAGTCAATGGGAAGGATGACATCCCATATATTATGGGAAAAGACCTGTTCCAAACCACCAATCAGATATTGTTGGCCATATTTTGTGGGGATATTCCCTGAAATTCAGGCCCTGAACAATAGGCCTTATATATGGTAGTAGGTACCTCCAATCAATCGGTTCCTGAAATGGCCATTGATATGTTAATCAATTGGTTTGCTGATGAAATCTTCAGCTTGTGAAATCCTCATCTTTGCCAGTGAAATCCTCATTTTTTGGGGCTGATCAAAACAGTGCTGTGGTCAAAACATGGTTACCATGTGGTATGGTCATCCTCAGTGGAAATCCTGAGAAAAAAATCATCATTTTTATGACTTGATCATCATCCCCCATGGCATTTTTTTACCCATGTCCTGATTCTCAAACATCTGGCGGATTACTTTTTTTACCAATGTGAACACAGCTATCATACAGCCGTTGGGATGATTTCTCAACAAAACCGAATCATTTCCGGGACGTCACGACGTGAGGTCAGCAAATACCCTCTGGTTATGTCAAAATAGCTATTGCAAATAGCCCATTTATAGTGGATTTATCCATTGAAAATGGTGATTTCCATAGTTATGTTAGTTTACCAGAGGGTAATTCAGCCAGAAGAATTCCATCCCCCTTTTTTTACATCCCATATCGTATGCTTCCAAATACGTGTAAATCTCTTATTAAACGAATGTTTTTCAATAATGAATTCATCCGGATTATTATCCCCATCATATCCCCAGAATATCCCAATATATACCACCATGTTTGCTGGTTCAGTCACCAATTTTAATGCTTGAATCACCATTATAAATTATAATTCATAATATAATAATATACCATTCTATTCCCATTCATATTCCATAACGTTACATGATATCCAGTTACAATGGTTATTATCTAATCTTCATACAGTTTTATTACCACTATACCCATGAGAACTATCTAATCTGGTTGGTGTTATACCTACCCCTCTGAAAAATATATTAGTCAGTTGGGATGATGACATTCCCAACTGAATGGAACGTCATCAAATTATATAAAATTCCATGGTTCCAAACCACCAACCAGCCATGAGAACGATCTAATCTACTAGTAAAAGTCATATATATATATATACCATCATAGCCCTGCATTTTCTGGACAACCCCCTCTATATTGGTGCTTATAGCTGCATCATAAGGTCCCGCCGCTGCAGCGGCCCCCCCTGGTATTTTCCGGGCCTTGGCGGCGACGTCGATAGAAACTACGTTCGATTCAGCATCTGGCTGGTCGAGGTCGGGCATACCTGCGCTTCGTAGCGCATTCGTTGCGCCAAAACCACAGCGAAAAACACTTCAATTTTCATGGAATTTAGTGGAGATCTAATGAAACAACGGGACATCATGGAGATATAAGGAATTTTAAGGAATTTTAAGTTACTTTAAGGAATTTTCAGGATTTTCAAGGAATTTAAAGGAATTTTAAGGATTCAATGGGGATCTAATGAACAACGGGACATGGAGATATAAGTAATAGGTATTATTAATTGGGATATCCCTTTTTGCACTAGTGGGCACCAGCAGAGTGCACCAAAATAGCACCAAGAAATATGGCAAAACTTGCCTTGGCGCCAAATGAACATGCCCAAGACTGAAGGTACTAACAAGTTTCCACTCTACATCGTTGAGTTGCCTTACACACATACACAAAGGAACAAAGAAGGTTGTTGAAAGGTTGTGCTGTGGCACAACTATAAGAAGATACACTACAAGATAATGTAAGATACTAGGTTTGCCTTGGTGCCTGCCGGGGCTGGGCAGGGGGGCAGGGGCCTGGCCCAGACCTAGAGAACTAAAGTTGTAGCTAACTAGGGTTGTGCTCCAAAAAAACTGTTCCAAACCGACATAATATAATATCTATATGTATATATAAGAGCAATATAATTGGGATAAAACCGAGCAATGTTCAAAACCCTTGTTGGTTGATGATTGTAGGGTGTACTACCCAATAGACTGGGGATGATCACAATCCATTGTGTGAAATCCGTTCTTAACCAACCAGTATATGGGGACAATACAGGCTTTTGAACACTTCACTTGCATACCAGTCTTGTGACCCATCCTTAAAGTATAAGTCAATAGGGACCATTAAAGTAATCCCATCCCCCTCAGACAAGATATGTGTGAGTAGGCATCTATACTATGTATATGTATATATATATATATACATACAGGTATCCTTACATGATGATAATATAATGTTGTCAAACAGTGAAGTTACTGTATGCCGCACATGAATATGTATATGAATACACATATATATATATATATGAATATATCACCCCACAAAACAACAACAACTTCTAAGGTGTTCATTCGATAGTTTTGAAGCCTAAAGGTTTACGCACTAGACAAGTTGAGATTGATTAATTGACCAGTTCAGCGTTGACATATATTAGATTGATAGACTGACAAGTTGAGGGTTGACGCAAGAGAGGTAATTTATGGATATTTATGGTAAGTTGCTAACTAACATCTATTTTCAGAGGTTTTATTATAATAACATTGTGGCTTTTACTGGTAGACTACTGAAACATCTGTTCATATTGTGGATTTTGCTGGTAAATGACTGAAATCCAACAACCCGAACTTTTGCCTGGGGTTGAAATCCAACTTACCAGCAAGTTCCCAGTCTTTCAAGTCCGCCTCACGTGCACGCGGCACAAAGGACCCCGGGACGACACAGCATCAGCTTGAGCGCAGCAGTATTCAAAAGCCATTGTCGTCCCTCAAGAATTGGTGGGTTAAAAGGAATTTTCAGAATGGATGGTGATCCTCCGCAATATATTGGATACCCTCTGGTAAACATGCACATAACTATGGAAAGATCCACCATTTTTTATGGGAACACTCACTATTTCTATGGCCATTTTCAATATATAGCTATGTTAAATTACCAGAGGATAATTAGTATACCCCCATATAACCATCACTCAAGGGCTGTAGCAGCCACTGCTCATATGGAAACTTTTGTCAACATGTGAATTTCATCCTGGTTGGTGACGCCTTTCTCGAATTCGAGGGATGAAGGAGACATGTCTGCACAAAGGACCAAGAGTAAAGAATTTGTCTTTAACCTATCATATAATTAACCCACATAATATATGTATATATATATAATCAACCTATATATATAATATATAAATAACCAATATGTAATCCATACATAACTAATAAAGAACATGGTTACCCAGCTTCGATGCTGGGAGACTCCCCATGTCGCATTGGTATTTTGCGGTGGCTAACGCCTTCCATAGGTGTTCCAAGGTGTTGTTGGTTCAGTCCCCATTTTTGCTCGTCCCTGATTAGAAGAAAAGTAGAAATCAAATGATATGCCCAAAATGATACGCATTCAGAGTGTGCTTTCATATGATTTTCTTGTCTGAATATAGGGTAATTACCCGTCAGTAAACTACAGTAACATATATGTGGACAATGGCCCATTTATAGATGAGGGGTTTCTTAAGAATGGTGATTTTCTATAGCTATGTGAGTTTGCTGCAGGGTACCTCCCCAAATTTCATGGTTTATCATCAGGTTCCGTGATTTAGGAACCATGTGACTACTTAAGTCCAATACTGGTTGGTGGTATACCTACCCCTCTGAAAAATATGAAAGTCAGTTGGGATGATTATTCCCAATATATGGAAAATAAAATTCATGTTCCAAACCACCAACCAGAATTTGATTGCTTACATCCCACTTATGTCGCCATAAAATCCCATGACATTTCAGCAGATCACCATGTCATATTCCCATTACATCGATATTATGTTGTGTCATATCATACACTATATTATGCCATATTAGATTGTATTACAATATATTACATTATATTCGATTGTATTACATTATATCAAATTATATACTGTATATTACATTATACATCTGTAATAATCGTACTTTTCTAGTGAATATATCCAACTTATTTCCCCAATGGTGTACCCAGTCCATCGGCAATTCTTTTCTCACGCAGGGCCACGGACCTTTGCCGGAGGGATGAAGTAGGAGCCAGTGGTGAAGGCTGAACATTGGTGGGTAAAACCAAAGAAAACTTGGGTTTTTATTCGAATTTAATGAGATTTAATGGGATTTAATGAGATGTATTGGGACTTATGAGATTTAATAGGCTTTAATGGGATTTAATTCGATTTAGTAGGATCTATTGGTATTTAATGAGATTTAATGGGGATTTAGTGAGATTGTTTGAGATTTGATGGGATTCAATGAGATGTAATGAGATTTATTGGGATTGAATGACATATTGGAGTTTAAGGGAATTTCTTGGGATTTACATGCATTTATATTTGATTTTTGTTAGCTCAATTCATTGATACCTCTTGGTTGTATGGTAGATATATCGAACTAGTTCATGGGGTAACCTAAACCAAACTTAAAACTGGGGGGGGCACATGGTTCTTCACCATTAGGGGTTTGTGGTTTCAACGGAGTGCTTTGTTAGGAAAAAACTGGTAACCGGAAACCATAGGCTTTTGCCAGAATATACAGAAATTTGTACATGGGTAATAACAGGGCGGTTTTCTGGTGATTTTTTCCATAAACCATTGTCTATCGTCATTGTAATGTTATTGCCGTGTATCTGTGAATGTTTCATGAACTTTTGCCGTCGTTCTGGAAATTCAAGAGTAATGAAATCACAAACAACTGGCCTAGCTGATCGGTTTCAAAGATCGGTCTTCATCCCACACATGAGATGATTGATGGGATGTGTTGGAAGCAACCGCCAACCAGATCTGACGCTATCACCACGAATTACCATGACATTCTCAACGTTTAGTTTGTAGTTCTGATGTGGAAAAGCATTGCTTCCTGCAATTTTTCGTTTAGTGAAGCCAGTCCGTTCAAACCTCATCAAATTGCTGCTTTCCCCATTAGAATCCGACATTTCCATGGTACCACTTAGCATCACCATGACTTCCAGCCCCGATCGGAGAGCAAAACCCAGCCAGCTCTCTTAGCTCCACTTCATAGCCTCTGGTAAACTAACATAGCTATGGAAAATCCACCCATTTTTAATGGGTAAATATCCACTATAAGGGGCCATGTTCAATAGCAAACTGTTGACATAACCAGAGGGTAATTTCAAATGAAGAGATTGAAGATATAGCAACACCCAAAAAGACTGGTGCTAAACGTAGGGACTGAGGGAATGATCCACTGGCTAACTATCAATAATAATCCCAGCAACCCCCATTCCCATCCATTCCCTACTAAGAACCAGTAAGAAGATTGGAGTTAATAAAATAGTACTAGAAAAATAAATTGTTGGTAAAATAGTTGTCTATCGTCTTGGGGGTGTTACATATTAAACAGGGGTTTCGTTTGGGGGTAGTATCTTAATATGAATGCGGGAAGGGATTATAATGTCACAATGGTGAATCAGATTGAACAATCACCATTTTAAAGTGATGTTACTATCAACTTCACCATTGTCAATAGGATAATCATCTATAAACTGGCGGTTTTCACCATAGCTAACAATGATGATTTACCATCAACTTATGTAATATTGACATGGGCCTTTGGTCATTCTGAGATCAGCAACATTAAGGCCCAAAACCCTCTGTTTTTCCATACCGTGGGTCTGGTTCCCATACTGGAGTAGACTGTACGCCAAACAAAACCAGTGAGTATAACCCATAACCATCTTTTACAATCAATCATCAACGAAACAACAAGTCTGGATCACACCTTTTTGGTGATCAAACCCACATTTTCGGTGGTTGAATCACCACAATCCTCCAGTGCTTGCAGCTTTCGAAAGGTGGGTTTTTCTCAGTCTCCGGGCACTGCAAGAAGAGCGCGGCGGTGGTGGCAGCAGCGGAGGAACGTTGCTGCTTGTTGTCCCGGCGTAGCCTTACTGTCCGGGGCATCCAAGACCCATGGGTGCTGCAAGCGAGTTATATAGCGACGGACTGGAACTTAGAATGTCAGCCCAGTTTTCCAAAATTTAGTGGTTTGAACTTAGAATGCCATCCAAATGGGGTATCTTAGAATGCCGCCACATGTGACATTCTAAGTTCCAGTCCGTCGCTAGGAACACCACAATATTTCCCAATATTTCCCAATATTTGAGGCCAAAACATGTCACAAACAGTTTATAGACTGACCAGAAATATATCCCAAAGCATTCCAAGTTCCTAGTTCAACCCCCTCATGCATGATACGTATTGCCTGGGGCAACCATGTTTACCCATCTGAAGGGTTTTATCAAAACCTTGAATATATAGTGACGGATTGAAACTTAGAACTCCGTTTTGGAATTTACATACGGCCATTACGGAACGACACCGCGGCCAAAATCTCACCGCAGAAGACAATTTTATACCCCATAGATTTTCATACTAGAGTTAGAATGTGGCAGCACACCGTACGGAGTTTATCATTTTTGAGCACCGTTATGTAGTTTTGGGGCCAAATCCGCAAACTTAGAATGTGTACATATAATCATAAAATATCATATGTGTTCATGGGCTCTGTGAACATATGTTCGCTTTATACCCCATAGATTTTCATACTAGAGTTAGAATGCCGCCAACACACCGTAAGGAGCTTATCATATTTGAGCACCTTTATGTAGTTTGGAGACCAAATCTGGCAAACTTAGAATGTCCATATATGATCACAGGTGTTCATCGGCTCTGTGAAAATACGCCTGGCCACTTGAAAATAAAGTTTATAGAAGCTCTATGGAGGATTTTTGAGGGATTTATGGAGGATTAATGGAGGATTTATGGAGGATTAATGGAGGATTAATGGAGGATTTATGGAGGATTTATGATGGATTTATGAAGGATTTATGGAGGATTTATGGAGGATTTATGGCGGATTTAGGGCAATTCATTTGTGAATACTACAGTGGAAAGAACGTTCACTTTATGTATTCGTTTTCAATTAGGCAATTCATTTGTGAATACTACAGTTCCAAGAAAGTTCACTTTATGTATTCGTTTTCAAGTAGGCAATTCATTTGTGAATACTAAAGTTCCAAGAATGTTCACTTTATGTATTCGTTTTCAACTAGGCAATTCATTTGTGAATACTAAAGTTCCAAGAAAGTTCACTTTATGTATTCGTTTTCAACTAGGCAATTCATTTGTGAATACTAAAGTTCCAAGAAAGTTCACTTTATGTATTCGTTTTCAACTAGGCAATTCATTTGTGAATACTAAAGTTCCAAGAAAGTTCACTTTATGTATTCGTTTTCAACTAGGCAATTCATTTGTGAATACTAAAGTTCCAAGAAAGTTCACTTTATGTATTCGTTTTCAAGTAGGCAATTCATTGGTGAATACTAAAGTTCCAAGAAAGTTCACTTTATGTATTCGTTTTTAATTAGGCAATTCATTTGGGAATACTAAAGTTCCAAGAAAGTTCACTTCATGTATTCGTTTTCAATTGGGCAATTCATTTGGGAATATTTGGGAATCCTAATTTGGCAATTTTCAGTTTCATTCAGGTGTCTATTTTTGGAGTCAAACACGAACACCAAAGAAAAACACCAGAAAAACCAATGAAAACCAATGAACAAAAACAATGATAAGCAAAGAACAACACATGAACATTATTGAGAACCAAAGAAACAATTATGAACAAATCAAGGAAAAACGAAGGAGAACCACAGAAAAACCAATGAAAAGCCAAAGAAGGAACAATGAAAAACAATGGAAAACCAAAGGCAACTTTGCCAGCATTCTAAGTTACCTTTTGCCAGGGATTTTTGGTCCCTGTGTTTTCGAGGTTTTCATCTTTAATGGGGAAGGAAATAAGAGACACTTTTGAGGAAAAAAAGGAATCTTGAGGTGCCTTGGATCCTATATGTTCACAAAACCCTGTAAATATGCAGTAAATTGCATTGTTTCTTGCATATGTGCTTCAAACGGAGTGGAGTTATTTTTCTGTTTGCTGTTTTTTTGGGTGTTTTATGGAGGAAAAAACACTGGCAGGAGAGAACTTAGAATGCCATTTTAGACCTAAAATGTGCATTTTGTATGGCAATACTGTGGTTCGGGGTCTGGCACATTGAAACATTCACACGCCGGCATTCTAAAATACCCTTAAAAACAGGGTTTTTGGCGGCATTCTAAGTTCAAAAATCAAAAGTTTAACAAACTGGGCGGCATTCTAAGTTTCAGTGTGTCACTATCTATATATATATATATACATGTAGCTATTTATCTATGTATACATATATAAATATATACTTGTTTTGGGTTTGTGTTCTTTCAACTTCCGACCGCCAGCGCTACATGCAGCACGATGCATGGCTGTCCCAGCTTTGTGTGCACTGCCAGGCACACACAAGAAAACCAGCAGCATTGTTTCACAAGAACAGACATCAGGGTTTATCTATAATAAAGTTCCTTATTTTGCGCCATCAGAAATGGAGGAATTCACACACACACACACACATATATATATATATATATACGTAAAAAACATCCTCGGGTGTAAACTTAGCATGCATTTCGCAAATAATCATTTTTTTTCCCGCCAAGTGAGATTTACGTATATATATATATATATATACGTTTTCGTCCACCTTACCCCCTAAACTTAGAATGCTTCATTCTAAGTTGTTCTCCGTGACCCCCATTCTAACACGGGTTTGGAAACTGGGGGCCCCTTCTAAGTTTTAATCCGGTACTATATATATTCAAAAAGCTTTGAAAGCACAGCGCAATCGCACTCTCATGCCAAAAAGTTTGGCCCTTTTTCACTCTTTCCCTCGAAATCCCAGCGTTTTGTTTGCTCTTGGAACGGTCCTGTATCCCTTCCTGTGCACAAGTTTGGATTCCAAAATATTGAAATGGGTGGTTTTGGAATGATTTACTGCCTTAATTTACATTGAAATGGGCGCCGAATCTCTGAACAACAGGGCAAAAACCCCTGAAATGTCTGCATCAAAAGGTATCCAAAAGAACAAGTGAAGCATGTCTAAATAGAAAAGGACCTGACACGCATTCTAAGTTAACATTACAAGAGCCAATTGGTGAAAAAACACAGTACAAAAGTTGCGGGAGCACATATTTCTAGATTTTGCCGCAACTTTTTCCAGTGGGTACGGTTCCAAAATGGCATTCTAAGTTTCAGTCCGTCGCTATAAATCCCATTACCCTCTGGTAATTTAACATAGCTATGGAGAATCACCATTTTTAATAGGTAAATCAACCAAAAAATTGTCATTTTCCATAGCTATGTTAAATCAACAGTGTGTAACTATATTTGCTTAAACCATAAACCGTAGGCAGATGCATATATATATATATGTAATATGTGTCATGCCATCTGTGTAAATAAATGGAAATATTGATGATATGTAGAAATATCATTTGATGTAAGATGTATATACACATAATGATTACATAAATACATCTTTGCATACATCATTAATCTGGGTAAATTATAATAGTACGGCCAGGAGCTCTGTGTTGCCCGGAGATTTAAAGGGACGTTCCCGGCAGTTTTATGAAGATATCTGACATGTTATTACCCATTTCAATATGTATATATAGTTCAAGAGGGTGGCAGATTTTAATCCCTCATGATGATATGAAGATATCTGACATGTTATTTCCCATTTCAATATATAGTTCAAGGGGGTGGCAGATTTTAATCCCTCATGATGATATGAAGATATCTGACATGTTATTACCCATTTCAATATATATATAGTTCAAGAGGGTGGCAGATTTTAATCCCTCATGATGATATGAAGATATCTGACATGTTATTACCCATTTCAATATATATAGTTCAAGAGGGTGGCAGATTTTAATCCCTCATGACTCATGATGATATGAAGATATCTGACATGTTATTTCCCATTTCGATATAGAGTCCAGGGGGGTGGCAGATTTTAATCCCTCATGATGATATGAAGATATCTGACATGTTATTTCCCATTTCAATATATAGTTCAAGGGGGTGGCAGATTTTAATCCCTCATGATGATATGAAGATATCTGACATGTTATTACCCATTTCAATATATATATATAGTTCAAGAGGGTGGCAGATTTTAATCCCTCATGATGATATGAAGATATCTGACATGTTATTTCCCATTTCAATATAGAGTTCAAGGGGGTGGCGGATTTTAATCCCTCATGATGACATGAAGAGCAAGTTTCATGTTATTCCTAATTTTAATAAATAGTTCAGAGGGGGTGGCAGATTTTCATCCCTCAGGATATCTTAAGATGTTCTGATCTATTTCTTGATTGCCGCACCCAGCCTATACTGGGTTCGCAAGTTGTACTGGGCACTGGCTGCTTGCCAAGCGATGCGATCGCGGTCATCGTCATCATCATCATCATCATCCAACATCATCTAACATCATCTAACATCATAGTTGTGGGTCTGGGCAACACACGGTGCCTGTGGGTAATATTTCACTAACCTGAATTAAGGCCATTTGGGGATGATTTCCCTGAAATAAACCATGATTCCAGGGCTCGGTCGCAGTGAGGTCGTTATAATTTACCCAGATTAATCACCATTTTTCCACAGGGAGATCCTCTGCACCTCACCTCTGCTGGGTGGCTTTGTCTCCAGCAAATCATCAAGCAAACCTTCGCTTGTGTGGCGCGTGCGTTTTCGTTAACTGACAACACTTGGAACGCCACCGGCAGTAACATGATAGTCATCGTGAAAACAATTCAAAATCGGGGAATTAATTTGCTTCATATGAAGTTAACCTATGAATAAGGGTTGGCTGATGGCAAAATATGGGACTCACTGATTTCATGGTGCTTGGGAACTAATCCTGTGTATATACATAAATATGTATATCAACCAATATCAAGCAACCAGTTAAAGAGGATGGATAACACATTACGAAACACCTATGCACTCTCACGGTGACGTGGATATGAAGCTGGCCAAAAAAATGAAAGGCATATCTGCAGGAAAAACCCAGACTCATGGATAAAAAACCATGAGTTTGCTGTACCCTCTGGTTATATAACAGTTTGCCATGGTATAGATGGCCCATAGAAATAGACGATTTTCCCAGCTAGAAACCTCCATTTATTTTGGGGATTTTCCATGGCTATGTTAAATAACCAGATGGTAAACATTCCCTTCAACCAACCCTTCATGAAGCCGGAAATCGGGTGTTTTCAGAAAAACCCATGGCTTTTTTTCGCCAGGAACTGCCCCAAAACGCGCCCTGACCTGCAGATGTTTCCCTGTGATCCTAGGTGGGTATACGCCTAGCAACGGGATGATTTACTGGTTGGTGGTTTCAACCTACCCCTCTGAAAAATCATGGAGTTCGTCAGTTGGGATGATGACATTCCCAGTACATGGGAAAATAAACCACGTTCCAAACCACCAACCAGTTTATTATTGGGCTTACCACGTTCAATGGAAGCCATGACCCATTTACAGATGCTTTACTTACATCTTTACCTACTAAAGATGGTGATGTGAAATTACCAACCAAAGGGTAGACAGCGCGCTTCAATAAGCGGAGAGCCCCAACATGAATTCACGAGGCAAAAAAACAAGAGCTATTGGGGTTGCAGTCAATGTTCTCACTGTGGACCCTCTACCTAAATCGTGGAGCAGTTCCACTTAATTGAGGTGTTACTAAGATTGCCATAATCATAATTCTCACAGGGCCCCATATCCCACCTTATGAGGGCTATAACACCTTGATTAATCTAAAATACTCGCAACTACAGCCCGAAGCTACTCCTATGTAGAACGGACACCTTGAATTCAGCCTAGTCACAGCAGGCAACAAAAATATTGTCGCAACAAGCAACATGTAACTAGAGTAATCATGGTCAATCTTTGGTAGTCCACAATAAAATAATCTGTTGATATCTTTTGCTGTTTGTGGTTATTCTCCATTTATAGCACAAGACTAAGGGATTAGTTTCTACCTCTCCAGTCGGTTGGGGATGTAATGTGGTATACAGTATCCGATCATAACTTCCCAATGTTTGGCTAAGTCCCATCCATTTCTAACCATTTCTATCCATTTCTGCTGATATTGCGGATGCTTTATGGAATTCTTTCAGGTCAATGCCCATGAAAACTAGTTCTCTATATCAACCATCAACCAACAGACCTAACTTGGGAGTCAATCGTTCACTATTTCAATGTACCTAGCCCCATTTTTTCCATACTCTACATCTAGAAAATTGACTTGAAATGATTGTATATCATTGTATATCATTAATACCCTCTGGTAATTTAACATAGCTATTGAAAATGGCCATTTATAGTGAGTTTTCCCATTAAAAATGGTGATTTTCCATAGCTATGTTAGTTTACCAGAGGGTAACATTTAATAACCATCATCCGAACCGTTTCTTGGAGCATCACCTTGGAACAAAAAATGGACCCGTTCGGGATGTTTGGCGTTGGCCCAACGTTGGGTTCCAAGTCAATAAATATATCCAGAGGTAAAATCACAATAAATCCAAAACATGTGGATAAATATAAGTTGATAACATATCTTCATCTATTGGATCAATGATTTATATCCAGTGGATAAAATCCTAAATGTTACCGGCCATGAACATCATGGAATTCAAGAAACTGATCAATTTACCTCTGGATAACCCAAACATATTGGATGGATGATATTAGTACCCTATTAGCATATTTTTTAGCTGGTTACTGGATGAAATTTTAATCTCTAAATCCAGCAAATTCTAGACCATCATTTTGAATGATCATTATTACCACATCCAGCAAATCCAGTATTTATTTATTATTACCAAACTTATCATAGTTATCATAAATATAATACCAGATCCAGCAAATCCAATCATTTCATATCATTTCAAAAACAAGTTTATGAGCAAATTTTTCAGAAACTGATCATTTGGGTATAGGTCAATACCTATAGATACATTTTTAGTGGGATGAACATCCATTTACCAGCTATTTTGGGGTTCACTAGGTACCAGGGTTTTGACCCATCCCCATTTATTCACCTTTCAAGATTTTGACCAAACGGACCAATCCCAACGTTTTTTCCGGCACCGTAAAGAGGCACCTGGTGCAGTGGAATGCGTGGCATCTTCCTTCATCCCCTGCAGGAAACAAATTGGGGAAACTCCAAAAAACATGTTGCAGGGTGGGGCCCCCGGATGTGATGTGAACGTTGGTTGAGAAAAACCATGGGAAAACCATGGGAAAATGGTGAACATTTTTAATGGGAAAATATGAACCATAGTTGGTTTATAAACCATGAATTAATCCCCATGGAAACTCGTTCGTTATAAGTTATATCTACCATAAACCATAGAATTCAACCACAAAAATAAACCAACTGAACGCGAGCTCGACTGGGGGCCCCATCTTGTGGGAAAAGTCTAAAACAACATGGTTCATCATGGTTAGTATCATCATAACATTTCATGGTTTTAATCTGGTGAACATAAAGTGGGAAAAGTCAACAAAAAACATGGTTCATTATCTGGTTGGTGGTTTCAACCTACCCCTCTGAAAAATGATGGAGTGAAAGTCAGTTGGGATGATGACATTCCCAACTGAATGGACAGTCATAAAATTCCATGGTTCCAAACCACCAATCCATTAAAATCAATTAAATCCATTAAAATCCATTATTATCCATTAAACCACTATAATCCATTATAATCCATTATTCCATGGTTCCAAACCACCAACCAGTTTGAGTTGAAGCATGGGTCATTAAATGTCCCCATTGAACATCACCCAACCATTAGGTATATGGTCTATAATGGCTACTATAAGGTGATGTCCAATATACCCAAAATGGGACAGTTACCAACCAGTTTGAGTTGCATTAAACTATCCCCATCCAATCGATGTACTCAGCCCCGTTCCCGGCAGTCACCTTGCAACTGATTCGCACATGCTTTTGGATGTCGCTCGCATGGCTGCTGCTAAAGGCAATCACCTACCGCTGTCAGGACAACGGCATTGCCCCGAGCAATGCCAATTTGGCTGAAAAAAACTGGAGATCCGGCAGAAAATCCAACAACATGTCAAGATATGGCTGGTAACTGGTCCTTTTGGCAGCATCTCGGAGAGGAAGTACCTATTGACCATCTAACAGAATACCATTATATGTATATATATATGTATATAGTTATCTTTAAACATCATATATATATTATAATTATGTATGTATGTATATATATAAGTATATGAGTATATATATATTTATGTATAAACGCGTCTAGCTGTCTATGACATTATAAACAATATATATATATATAAAACATATCACACATTATATAGTTATCCAGTGAAACCAATCATATCTCCTCCCAACGCGGCATCCAGAAAAACTGCTGGGCTATTTGCAGACACACCCAGAAAAACTGCTGGGCACTTTTTTGTCATGATATCCAATCCAACTATATACAACCATATATTCGATATTACCATATATTACCTATATACATATATATGTATGTGAATATGTATATATGTGTATATATATATATATTCAATGATATCCCAGATATCATAGTCATGTTTGCAGTTGAAGCCATATTTCAATTGGTTCTCAAGGATGACTCCCCGTAGAAAAAATGAGGCGCCTCCTGCCGATTCTTGGTATCCAAGCACGACCACGCACCGGAGCCTTGGGTCGTGCGGTCAACGCGTCAACGCAACGCGATCGAAAACGGGAACCTATATATATATATATATGTATGTATGTATGTACATTTGAAATTTAAAGTGTGTACGTCTATGACATGGTATGACATGGTATGACATGGTATGACATGGTATGCATGTACATATACATGCCATACATGCCACCACACGAGTCAACCCATGGGAACCGAATGTCCCAGGCTCCTCGCAAGCCCCAATGGTTGGGGTTGATTGGGGTTGACAACCCCAATGAGAGTCATCTAACTTGGGGGTTTCCACTGAATCACACGTGGATATGAAATCATATGAAAACATATGAAATCTAAATATATAATTTATTTCAATAATAGATTTAAAATTTATGATTTCAGTGCTACAAATCATCAGATATAGTAGATCTACTATATTTATATATATATATTTATATCTGGTGATCTCTCATCCCAGAGGGTTGACCAGTGACAGCCATTGATGTCAGGCAACGCTCCAGGGCTTCAGAGCAAGCAATGAAACTGGAGAGCTCCTTGATGCTTCCATCTACCTTGGCTGGGATATGTTTAAAAGATCTTCTAAAATAAGAGACCGCAACAAAAGTTGACCAGCAAAAATTGTGATTCACCCATCAATATGATCGTTGTAACATGTTTCAACAATCAAAGATGTTATTATTATTACTCCGGGTAAATTATAACATTTCACTAACCTGAATTAAGGCCATTTGGGGATGATTTCCCTTACTAACCATGATTCCCAGCGAGGTCGCAGTGAGGTCGTTTTTAATGGGTAAATCCACTATTTCTATGGCCATGTTCAATAGCTTTTTGTATGTTTACCAGAGGGTATGTCAAATTACCAAAGGCTACACTATCATTCTTAATATCATCATCATGGGATTGTCTACACATGGAATGGTTAATGTGGGATATGGATAATGTGGGTAAAACAACAATACCACATCCCCCAAATCACAAATTTTATAGATGATATAAACATGTATAAACCATTCCCAGTCATGGGTGGTTTATGACATTGTTTTTACCCACATTATGTCAAATTTCCAATTACTATTGGGTTTATTAACCACTATTAACCACTATTAACCACTATTAATCACTATTAACCACTATTAACCACTATTAATTCTTCCACTGTTATACTCATCTTATAACCATCAAACAATCTTGGTTTTCGGCTCGTCCTCTCGGGACGATCGGGACATTGTCGGGACAAAGGCACGGCCGGCGTGCCGGACGTGGCATCATCCTCCATGCCCGGTTCCGGGGAGCGTACCTTGGAGCGTCATCAGTTCCAGTTGGTTCAGAATGGGAATGGGATTCCCCGTTGGGCCAGTGATCATGTGGAGAATCCCCTATTTTGGCCTTGGTGATTGTAGAACTGGTTGGTGGTTTCAACCAACCCCTCTGAAAAATCATGGAGTTCGTCAGTTGGATATATAAATATACAACCAGTAGAGACTTGGGAAATCTGGACCCTGGACCCTGCAATCTCCTGGTTTTCACAGCAAATAGCTTGTAGGGAAGGATCTCTGCCCCCTGATTCATATATTTCACATGGACATCATGGGTATTGACCCATTCCCATATCCAGCTCTATGAAAATCAATAGTGATCCATAGCTGACCAGCGGCTGGTTTCTTCCAAGATCCGGTCCTCCACAAGTGGAAGCTCCAGACTGTCTCCACTATCGAGTTCTGTGGTCTTGGACAGACCGTTTGAATGATCTTCTGCATAGAATGAGGGCAAACTTGTTGCATGTCATGGTCCAGCCAACCTATGTTGATTGGAATCAACATAGAACCATCATGAGCCATGATGCCAATTGAGCTCAAGGTGGTGCAGAAGGGTGACCGCTGCTTCTGCTGCGGGTTGGTCGATTTCAGTCAACATCAAGCCCGACTGCTTCATTGCTTTATGTATAATACATCCTATAGCCCTGTGTCCGCTGGCTGCTTACATTCCCGGTTCTTTTGCTTACATCCCCGTCTGATCAACATGTAAAAACCCATGGCTTTTTGACCTCCAAAAACCCCCCCAACCTCTGCCATAAATGGTGTAGAGATTCACCATCTTTGAGCACAAGATGGGGCCCCCAGTCGAGCTCGCGTTCAGTTGGTTTATAAGTGGTTGAATTCTATGGTTTATGGTAGATATTTCACGAACTAGTTAATGGGGATTAATTCATGGTTTATAAACCAACTTATAACTGGGGGGCCCCATCCTGCACCCAAAGATCAAATTCGTACCCTTCTGTCACCAAACATTGCAATTGACCAATTCCCGGGAAAATCCTCTCTGAATGAGGGATTTTACATTGCCACGTTTGATTACCAGCGGATATACTGTAGATACTGTACATCCACATTGTAAATTTTATCTGGATGATAATCCTACCATCCCCTAGCTATTGAACTGGTCTTTCTTCTGTTAGAAGTGTCGTTTTTCAACGATTTCCATATATACCATTAACAACTGACATTCATACTGACATTCACATCATTCATATAAATAGAATATTGGATTTGGTTTAACATCAATCCTAGAAAAATCGCCGGTATATACCCTCTGGTAAATTAACATAGACCCTGGCAGATAGGGGTTGGAAGACTAGTTATTAAAAATTGGTGATTTTCAGGGTCTATGTTTATTTACCAGAGGGTACCACTTGCCATTATGTTATATGTTCCAGTGATCTCCATGTTTTTCATGAAATACCAAGTACATACTGCCATGGATATAATTTACCCAGAAATACTGTGGTTGCGAAATCCACCACCAAAAGGATGGTTGAAACTGTACCCTAAAATAATGAGATCAAACACCTATCAAATCTATCAATTACCCTCTGGTAAACTAACATAACCATGGAAAATCACCATTTTTAATGGGTAAATCCACTATAAATCACCATTTTCAATAGCAAACTGTTGACATAACCAGAGGCTATCAACTGCTGCGGGATCTCCCAACCATCGACAGATGAAAGATGTGGTGCTCTTTTTTGGGCCCGGACGACCAGGGCATTCGCATTCTTGGTAGCTCCCAAAATGCTTCCTCGCAGCCGTGCAAAGCGCCTGCAGAACGTCGCAGCATGTCGCAGCAACGAACTGGGTTTGCCTGTAGTAACCTCCAGAAAGATATTGGGAGATTGAACTGATCACTATTTTCATAGGATTTTACATACGATCTTTTTGGGGATAGAGTAGAATCACATAAATCAAAAAAGAAACTATCAAAGCCGAGTAGAATAACGTAAATCAAGATAGACACTATCAAAACCTATTATTTATTCTACCATGTTTGGAGGGGATGAACATCCATTTATCAGCTTCTTTGGTGCTCACTAGGTTACAATGGGGTTGTTCGGCACATATCCATGTGGAAAGCGCATGGATCTCCAATATTTACTTACCGGAGGGTATTCCCAAAAAATGTGGTAACCCAGAAATGAAATAATTTGAAGTTTCAAGCCCATAATTTTCACCTTTCTTGATGATCAAACTTGACGGGAATTCGAATAGTTTTCAATTAGCAAACAGCGCACCTCCGCTAAGCGTCACTGGTAGCGCTATTGCCCCTTCCGCAAGGATGTTCTTATTGCAGTTGCTTACCCAGTTTCCACCAAATACATCCCTTTACTTTTCTTTTTGCTCTTGCCTTCAACTATCTTGCAAGGCCCTACTCAAATACTCATCACATTCCTTTAACAGTTGGAGCATAAAACTCCTCAAAATTGTGAAAGTCACATTGATGCGTCCCATTCACGGCAAGGGATATTTCACTTTGGGATATATGATATGCTTGGGCAAACCATGACATCATGACAAACCCATATTCTAACTACAGTACCAAGCATACAAGCCAAATATGCCAACATATTCATGGAATTTATGAGGAGCCCGAAATTCTTGATGGGGGCCTACTCAGGAATCCCCTCCCATCTCCAATTGTCATCCAGGCTATCATCCCGGTCAACAGCATCAAGGGACCTGAAATTTTTACAGAACTAAGATATGCTAAGATGATCTAATAATACCCTCTGGTTGTCAACAGTTTGCTATTGAAAATGGCCATTGAAATAGTGAGTTTTCCCATGAAACATGGTGATTTTCCATAGTTATGCTAGTTTACCGGAGGGTAATAAACCACGGTTTCTGGGAAAGGCTGGAATATATTTGGGGAATCGGATTATCCTGGTTTCACGGAAATGGGAAATGGATGGATGCCACCAACTCTTTCAGTGACTCAGGTCTGCCATGGCATCTCACGTTCATATTCGAGAGCCTAGCACTAACAAACAGGAACAGATTTCGCGCGACTAACTGACTTTTTTTGCACAAGTGAACAAAAAACATAGAAACACCACAGCATCATTGTGGAAACCGCAGCAATCAATGCAGCAACAGGAGAAACTCCAAGCCTCGAAAGATCTTTGGGTAAAGCCACAAGCAAGTCGCTTGGAGTGTTCTCATCCATCCCTGCTTTTGTTGCCTGCGGGGTGAACCAAAAAAAAACAGGGCCACGAAAAGTCGAAAAACCATGGAAAAACCATGGAAAATCATCTGCAGACAAGAATAGATCAACTTGGCAATTCCATTGATCAGTTGCATTTTTTGTCACAATTCCAGTGGAATTGTAAGAAAATTCCATAGACTTCCCAACTTGATCAATTCCACTGACACCATATTTCCATAGACGTCCTAGGTCTTGTATTTTTGCTGTTTTTTTCACCTTGTCAGGCCAGGTGGATGGTGTATAAAACCCGGCAAACAGCGGGGATTTTTCACAAACCGAACAAAAAAGAGGGCTGGTTGGTGGTATACCTACCCCTTTGAAAAATATGAGTTCGTCAGTTGGGATTATTCTTCCCAATATATGGGAAAAATCCATTAAAATCATTTTAAATCCATTAAAATCCAGTAAACCACTACAATCCATTAATCCCAATAAGTCCCAATAATATAATTCATGTTCCAAATTCCAGTCACCACCAACCATGTTGGGGAAATTCTGGTTGATTTCCGTGAGCGTGGGTTTCATCATCACTAACCAATAACTGTCGGACTTCTGTTAGATACGAGCATATTGAACTACTTGTACAATATGGGTTTTTATAGTGGGTTTATATCTTTCAATATCTTGCCAAATTTGTTTTTTAGGTTTAACGCATTTTAAAGCACCATAAGTCATAGAGCTACCCCTAGTTATCATCCATTTGATTTTTGGATTTTCCATTACAAAAGACCATGAAGCGATAAAGGGGATCTCCATGACTATGGACGCCCCACAGATGGAATGATGGTCCCTATATGGGATACGAAATAACAAAAAGGGACCCGAAATTGACCACAAGGGCTGTTAAAGGAAATAGGGAACCCATAGGAAAACTAAAAAAAATGGGGAACCAATGTACAAATTGAGAAATACAATACCATACAATACCAATAAATTAGCTGTGTTCAATATCAGGAGAACTATTAATTCCCGGACCCAAACGGTACCCTAAGTCATAGCTGGTTACTGGATAGTTTATTCCAGTCATATATGGAGGTTTCCACCAACATATGGGTGATTACCCCAGTTATCATCCATTTATAGATGGAATTGTCCCTTATATCAATGGGTTGGTTTAAGGGAAAATCTACAGGAAAGAATGTTTTTCCCCACCAAATATGAGGTTTTCCTTTAGATTTTCCCTTAAACCAATCCAATGATTATAAACCACCCAGCGATAAAGGGGTACCCCCTATGACGATTTGGAAACCCCCCAAAAAAATAGAGGTGACCCGCCTTGTCAACGAGCTCAGCGAGTGGAGCTCGTAAAGAAGCCATGGCCTGCCATCATCATCATCTGGGTAAATTATAATATTTCACTAACCTGAATTAAGGCCATTTGGGGATGATTTCCCTTACTAACCATGATTTCCAGTGAGGTCGCAGTGAGGTCGTTATAATTTATCCAGATCATCATCATCATCTAAGTAGTGTGTATATAAATCTATCATAATCTAACTATAATCTAACTATAATGTGTACAAGTATTAAAATATATTATATACATATTCATATACATAAGATTTACAAAGATTTGAAGTGTTTTCCCCTGGGTAGATACTCTTCCCGATATCCGTTCGAATAAGGGGAAGACCTCCGATCTCCTGCAGACCTGCAACAGAAACACATGAAAAAGAGTGATGCTTCCAAGGGTTGACCCAGTTCAATCAGACATCTCAAGCATCTGTCATTGATAATCTCAATACTTATATGGGAATGTGTCAAAACCTTGTACCCCTGGTGAACCCCAAAATAGCTGGTAAATGGATGTTCATCCCACTAAAAATGGTATGTATAGGTATTGATCCATAGCCATATGGGGATTTCCATAGTCATGGGGGTACCCCTTTATCGCTGGATGGTTTTTTTTTGAGGGAAAATTCCAATCTATAAATAGATGATGACTGGGGGTACCCCCATTTCAGGAAACCTCCATATATCCTTATCCAACTTACCCTCCAGTAAATTAACATAGACCCTGGCAGTTGTCGGGGTTGGAAGATTAGTTTCCACTAAAAATGGGTGAGAAAATCAGGGTCCAACTGTTAATTTACCAGAGGGTAATTATCTTATCATTCCAATATTCATCCCGTCCCTCTATTTTTGATGCTTACTCCTCCAGTCTGGTGCTGAAACCCAAGTTGGACGGTTCAATCCGTACAAAATCATCCGCCAATCATGGCGTAATCACCGTTGAATGACAACGGAGTCCACAATTTTGACACATGAACCTCCAATTTGATGATTGCCAATTTTATCATTCAACCCCCATAATCTATGCTTGATACTTATAGAAACCCTTAACAATATGCCAAACAACTTTGAACATCTGGAAAATATGGGAAAATATCATCCCTAGCAGCTATACCTTCCTGGAAACACTTGAAAAAACAAATCTCTTTAAGCTTGCTATGAATACCATCTCCAATATTGAAGGCTTGAAGACCAGCTCTACCCGTTGATCCCCCACGGCTTCGCAGCACCTTTTTGAGCTGATCACGTTGTTTCAACTCGAACCTCAGCTGCAGATTGAGGGACCTCCAAAGAATGGGGAACCTGGAAACCTGGGAACCTCTCTTCTCTCTTCGCTCAAAGAAATGGGCACATATGGAGGTGTCCTTTATTTACGTTAAGGACACCTCCAGACACCTCCAGACACCTCCATAATCCAGTCGTCATGGGTCGGACGACTGGGGATTCCTAGTGGTTTTCTTACCCCAAGACATGTGGATTCCTACTGAAACACCCCAAAAATGTGGCTCTTAGCACACAAAAAACCGACAGTGGACCTATGTATCGAATTGGTTTTGTACACTGCAAAAAAATGAGTGATATCAATAAAGAACACAAGTATTGAGCGTATCATGGGCAATCTAACTGGACATACGATCAACATGATAATTATTTGGGTCGGTCAAACGATGGGGTGTACTCCAATTCATTGCAGTTTTAATTGTACACATGATGATTCATGAGTGGATTTGGGATATACCCGAATTTCTCGCAGTCTCAAATCTTGGTTGAATGATAAATGACTGGTTGATCACGCTTACTGGATGTTAACGGGTAACTTCATCATTATTGGGTAGTTAACTCCATCATTGTTGAGGAAATGGATAGAGTGTGATACATTGGCTCAAATCCTGCCCAGCATGATGTTCCTCATTCAAATTGCTGTGGAAGATATTGCCAGAAGGAGTCAATATTATTTGCATTCCCAATCTTTCATTATATATATTCCTAATTATATCCTGTAAGATACTGTAAGAACTCATTGTAAATTTGCAGCTGCTTAGAACATGTCATTCTACACGCATAAAAAAATGAAGATTGAACTACACAACCGATCCAGTGGCTTCAAATATATAAGCTAAATCAACATTCCCATTTTTTTATGGCTTAATGTGGGATAATAATGGATTAATATGGGTGAACGACCCCATGTTTGATGCTTATGATGTCCATCTCACATTGGGTCAAACACCGCGTACTAAGTGGGACGCGCATCCAAATCATCCAAGTTGAGGCTTTCTGTGTCTGGATGTTCTGTTCAAATTTGCAGTAGAAATGTATGTGATGATGGTATGAAACCCCATCAGCAGCCAATAGTTGTTTACAGTACTATTTCTAGCCACAACGTTTTTTTGGCCATACCCCAACAGCTGCAGCTTTGCTCGTCCAAGAAAATCTGTGGGCCGGAACACCAATGATATTCGAATCAACCAAGAAAATGTTAACCTATGTTACCCTCTGGTTATTTAACATAGCCATGGTATAGATGGCCCATAGAAATAGATGGTTTACCTATTAATAGCATGGTGATTTTCCATGGCAAACTGTTAAATTACCAGAGGGTAACCAGCACCAGCAAGTCGTCAATTCTGCCGGTCTTTTTTTGCCATGGGCTTTCAGGAAAAATAGGCTACTCCGTTTGATGGCCATAATTTTGGGCTACACGGCTACGTCTCATTTTCCGACCCCAAAAAATCTATGATTGGTGAAGTCCCATTACATTCCCATATGTCGTCAATGAGCTTTGGGCTTTTGTTTATTATCATTATTTACTATTGTTTATTCTTTCCAGGTTCCATTATGATCCCTCCTGATTAGACTCCCTAGCAACTCATAGAAGAATAGGTTAACATCATCCCATTCTAATTGGTTGGTTGGTGGTTTCAACCCCCTAAAAAATATGCTCGACAGTTGGGATGATAATTCCCAATATATGGAACATTCCCAATGTTCCGAACCACCAACCAGCCATATGTTAACATCATCCCATTCTTAATGGCCCCCGAGACCCGTTATTAGACACAGATGAACCGAACCCCAACAAGGCCCTGGCAAATCTTCCGGTTTTCGCCTTGAGGACGGAGTTTTGATATCTTCACTGAAACCCGCCTCTCGAAAAAAGCAGCGCAGAAGTTCTGTTGGATCCCAAGTTCTGTTTTGGATTCTTGGGTGTAAGAAATCGTGTCGCGGGAAGTGATTTTGAGATATTATCAGAATATTATTCACCCATAGGATCCATGTATGGTATATATGCTAACATTTGGGGTATATTGATGGTAAAATATGGTAAATGTTACCATATATAGCATACATGGATCCTATGGGTCAGAATATGCGACTCTGAATGTCATCTAAATGGTACTAGGACGAGGTATTAAACATGATTTTCTATGATTGAATATGATTAAACATTCCCAGATGCTCCATGTATGGAATATTTACCTACATTTGGTTGATTTTTGGGGTAAATGTAGGTAAATATTCCATACATGGAGCATATGGGATTAGTGAACCACATTTTGGGTGGCAGACTATCTACGGTTGAAATCGCCACGGCAAACAAACAAAGCCATCAGCGGAGAACGTCTTCCGGTGCTTCAATCTCCATCATGGCTTCAAATCTCTAGTGGTGCGATATCGCCATCTGTTGTCTTGCTACACTGTGGGTAAAACACTGCCATAAACTAACCATCCCCCAGTCAATACCATTTTTATAGGTGGTATGTTTACCATTCCCAAATTGGTGATTTATAAGATTGTTTTACCCACATTAAACTCTTTTCTTTCTTGCTACCCTCTGGTAAACTAACATAGCTATGGAAAATCACCATTTTCAATGGGTAAATCCACTATAAATGGGCATTTTCAATAGCAAACTGTTACTTTACCGGAGGGTATATCTTGCAATAACATTCCCACTTCACGTGAACATCAAGTGGTTCCAAACTCTCAGATGCTTCAATCCCCAGAGTTCTGCGCAAACTCCGTTTGATGGTGGTCGTTTTCACCAGCAAAGTGACCATTCTGCGAAAAAAAGTCTCGGAGATATTTATATATTGCCCATATTTGCCCCTATGTTCAGCGAACAAAATACATGTTTCTCATAGGTTTCCCCAATAATCCCCTGTAGATTCCCCCAGTCTTAGTGGATTTCCTATCCCAGATGCTGCATGTATGGAATATTTACCTACATTTGGTTGATTTTTGGGGTAAATGTAGGTAAATATTCCATACATGGAGCACATGGGTATGGATTTCTACAACGAAAACGCCATCCTCCGTTAAAAAATCGACTCGTCCTCCTCGGTGCTGGAGAAAAAACGCCCAAAGCTCTCAGCAGCACCCAGCAGTTTCCAGGTCAACGACACATCCTGGCGAGTTGTGGAGGACCATCCCGCTACCCTCTGGTAATTTAACATAACTATACATAGCTATATATATATATATATACATAGCTATGAAGGCCATGGCCCATAGAAATACCCTCTGGTAAACTGTTACATAACTATGGAAAAATTCACCATTTTTAATGGGAAAACTCACTATTTCTATGGCCATTTTCAATAGCTATGTTAAATTACCATCCCGCTACTCAGAGTTCACCCATCCCAGATTAGCTCACCATGGTGCTGGAATATGAATCCCTACAAAACTGGTTGATGAATTTGGGGTTTCTATGTAGGGATTCATATTCCAGCACCATGGAGCATATGGGCATTTATGGAAGCCGGTGAATAGCCTCCAGTAAACGAAGATTTTGCGAAAATGGACCATAGAAATGATGGTGCTTTACCTATTAAAGATGGTGATTTTCCAGTTCGCAAACTGTAACACTTTACGAGAGGGTAACTCCTAAGCTGGATGTTTGGATGTGAATTGGTTTATAAACACTGTCGACTTTTCGAGCACGGTTCCACCTCGTGGAACTATTGCAAGTCTCGTATTGCTACAATGAGTAATGGATCGACGTTTTTTTTGCCCCCTTAAAGAATATACCGATCTACACATCCCCAAATAGTTACAGCAGCAGTAGGGTAAATATCATTTATTCATATTCATTCTCCTCTTGGATGGCTACATATTATGTTCCAATTATTACAAGGTGGTGCCCCCCCACTTATAAGTTGGTTTATAACCCCAATGAACTAGTTCGATATACGTATCATAAACCCAACAGTTGTTGCTATGCTCACCAACTTAGCTAATTATAACTATGGGGCACCACCTTGTATATTAATCCAAACTATCCCATGAATATCCTACTATATCCCATTATGATGGGGTTTATGAACCACTAACTACATATTAATCAGCTATACATATTCCGCAGTCATCACCCGTGTTTTTTTTTAGGTCGTATGTTTACCATTCCCAAATCGTTGGTTTATGACATTGTTTTACCCACACTATGTAAAATTTCCAATTACTATTGGGTTCATTAACCACGATTAACCACGATTAACCACTATTAACCACTATTAACCACTATTAACCACTATTAACCACTATTACCCACTATTACCCACTATTAACCACTATTAACCACTATTAACCACTATTAACCACTATTACCCACTATTAACCACTATTAACCACTATTAACCACTATTAACCACTATTAACCACTATTAACCACTATTAACCACTATTAACCACTATTAACCACTATTAACCACTATTAACTAGAGACCGTGCTCCAAGTGGCCCAGTCAAAGTAGTACACCATCTCATCTTGGCACTGGGACTTCCATGAACCGCTCACATCCCTAAGTTTTCGCGAGGCACAGACTGATTAACTACTATTAACCACTATTAACCACTATTAACCACTATTAACCACTATTACCCACTATTGACAACTATTAACCACTATTACCCACTATTAACCACTATTAACCACTATTAAACACTATTAACCACTATTAACCACTATTAACCACTATTGCCCACTATTACCCACTATTACCCACTATTACCCACTATTACCCACTATTAACCACTATTAACCACTATTAACCACTATTACCCACTATTACCCACTATTACCCACTATTACCCACTATTACCCACTATTAACCACTATTACCCACTATTACCCACTATTACCCACTATTAACCACTATTAACCACTATTAACCACTATTACCCACTATTACCCACTATTAACCACTATTAACCACTATTAACCCACTATTAACCCTATTACCCACTATTACCCACTATTACCCACTATTAACCACTATTACCACTATTAACCACTATTACCCACTATTACCCACTATTAACCACTATTACCCACTATTACCCACTATTAACCACTATTAACCACTATTAACCACTATTACCCACTATTACCACTATTAACCACTATTACCACTATTACCCTTATTAACCCTATTAACCACTATTACTATTACCCAATAAAACCACTATTAACACTATTAACCACTATAACACTATTGACCCACTATTTAACCACTTATTACCCACTATTACCCACTATTACCCACTATCAAGTACTATTAACCACTATTAACCACTATTACCCACTATTACCCACTATTAACCACTATTAACCACTATTAACCACTATTAACCACTATTAACCACTATTAACCACTATTAACCACTATTACCCACTATTACCTACTATTAACCACTATTAACCACTATTAACCACTATTAACCACTATTAACCACTATTAACCACTATTAACCACTATTGGCCACTATTAACCACTATTAACCACTATTAACCACTATTAACCACTATTACCCACTATTACCCACTATTACCCACTATTACCCACTATTACCCACTATTTACCCCTATTACCCCACTATTACCCACTAT